GTATTTAATTAGTCCTCTACTGATGGACATTACAGTATCTTGCTGTTGCAGATAGTGTTGCAGTGAATAGCATTGTGCATGCATCTTTTTTGGCGGGGAGGGGCAGTCTCTGATAGCTTCCAACATTACATGGTAATACAGAGTCCAAGAATACAGTCATGACTAGCACCATGAGTTTAATTGCAGAGGCAGGATAGATTAGAAGAAGTAGAAATTAAGATTTGGGGATAGAAATTGGAGGTCTGGTCAGGTGCCAGTCTCCCCGTGCGTCTACTTACTTCATCATGAAAGTGCTTTGGAAAGATCAGAACAATCACTATATAAAATGTGAACTATGTTATTGCTACAGTCAGTATGGAATGTAAACAGAACTGCAATGAATAAATAAACTGTCTGCCTGCTTTTAAAATAACCAACTCATAAATCAGACAGTTCTTTCTATTTAAAGATGTTACTTCATTTTACATTTATTTTTTTATTTTTATTTATTTTTTTACATTTATCTTTAGCAAACATTTCAGGTCAGAATGGCAACTACTTTGCTTTTATGACTTCATGACTGTCTTTTTTCTCCATGCCTCAGATCCCTGGTGGTAACTAATGAGTATCTGCTGCAGCAGCTGACTAAAGAGCAAAAAGGTTATTCTGGGAAAGCACTCCTGCCTCCTGAGAAGAGTCATCGTTTGGGGAGATCATCGCCCTTTGGGAAAAGCACTCTGTCTTCCTCCTCACCAGTGGCACATGATACGGGTTAGTATCTAATACAGAGTGTTTCAGACTCTGTCCCAGAGCCTAGGCTATGGAGCTAGCACTGCACACCTTTTTTGCAGCTTCCCTCTCAGCTCCAGGGGGCTCTCAGTGTCATTGCCACTAGTATGGTGGTATTCACTCACAAGATTAAGAAAAAAATCTTATTTTGATTAGACTATGTTGGTCCTTTTTATTTCTTTTTATCTCCTCCCATCAAGTCGTTCTTTCCTTCTGCCCACATAAATAGTTGGCACTTAGTCCTAGGCATCATATCACACAGAAACGTTTGGCTGAAGATGTCAAAAAGAAAAAAACACTAGACATTTTTCCCAAGTGTCAGTTGAAACTGTGTAGTAGGAAGTTTAAAAAGAACATCCATGGCCAGATATGTTTTGTGTTAGCAGAAATTTTGAAGAACCTCTATTGATCAGTTCATCAAACGTGTTTTGGGTTTTCTCCCACCATAGTGAAAAGGTGACAAGGTCCAGTGTCTTCCTGGAGCAGCCAACGGTTTAGTTGTGTGATGGAGCTCAAAGCTTGCCATTAGTACCAAACAGGCCTAAATAAAAGCCTAGAGAGATCCTGGAAAGACAGACAGACAGTAGGTAATTCCTACTCTGGAGAATTGGAGAAGGCATCAGTGAGGACTTGTTTGAGTGGAAGCTTGGCAGAATGAGTACAATGGTACCAGGTAGAGGGGGTGCAGAGCCTCCTAGGCCAAGAGTACAGAGTAGGAGAGTCTGGGGCCCCCAGAGGGATCACCGGGCAGGGAAGATGTAGGACATGGTGCCATGACAGTATATAACTGGGGGACCTGTCCTAGCCTGGGAGGGAGGTGTGATATCAAGAAAATGTCCCCTATAGAAATGATCTTTCAACCAAGGCCTGAAGAACTGAATAGGAGGTCACCAGGCAAAGCATAGGATTGAGGGCAGAGGAGTGGGGAGAGCTGCAGAGAGAAATAGCATAAGCAAAGGCCATGAAATGGGAAGGAACATGGTTCATTCAGGGAATGGAGGGCCTGAGAGGAGATACACAGGAGCTAGGTCGCATGGCTCCCAAAAGATTTTAGATTGGGAAGGCAGATGGGTAGTATTCAATAGATTTGTGTTTGAGAAGCTTTCTCTATAAGAAGAGTAGATTGACCTCCGGCCATGTGGAGTGGACCAGAGAGGAGCTAGAGAGATAAGAGAGAAGGCTGGTGCAGTCCAGACCAGAAGTGTGGCTTCTGAAAGTTAGCTTTGGGCTCAGCATCCACTTTACATGTCAGTACCTTGTATTTCAGACTGAGGATCAATCTTTTCTTTAATCCTGATTGATTAGGCATCAATGGGAACAGATAATGCAAGTGGCTCTAGGTATGTCTCTACTTCAAGGTTGCACAAGTAGCTAATGTTGCCAGAGAGCTGTAGAGGGCAAAGGACTGTTAACCTAATGTCATATTGTACTTCTCTTCATCTTCAGGGTCATGTCAGAGAGAGAGGCAGGTGGAAAGATTAGACACTTATTTGCTCCCCTGACCCAGGTGCTGTGCAGGGAAGGAGAGCTATTGCTGTAATAATGAGACATGAAGATCACAACTAAGATCACACATCTCTAAGTTATAAATAAAATCTACAGATCTCTCAATTTTATGTAGGTTCCCAAAAGGAGCATGCACAGAGGAGCCATAAGTTTCTTTGAGCTGTATGGCTCTGAGGGAGCTAGAGTCAGCTCGTTTTCTCTGGAAGTGTCAGTAAGAACAGCCCCCCTCCCCGCTCTCCTGGGCCTGTCTTGGCCCCATTGAGAGGCCTCCAAAGAGCCTAAGCCTTGAGCAGGTAGGGTAGCCTTAGCTAGTAGCCTTACAGCCCTGTGTTGTCATATTTCACCGTCCCAGCCCAGTGCACAGGCCAACTTACTGGACAGCCGATGGGGGCTAGGGGAGGTGGGGGCAGGGATAACCGACTTCTTTCTACAACCCAGCCCTCCCTTCCTTCTCCTATGAATCTCCTATGAATGCTAGCCCAGAACCTATTCAGGGTACCTCTAAGGAGGAGCAAAGAGCCTGACCCAGACTAAGTCACCTTCCACTCTATTTTCTATTGTCACTGAAAGTGGTTGGTCCTACCCTAGGCCAGGCCCCTCTCTAGGGTTGCTGGTCACTCATGCAGAGGTCAACTGTGTTTCTGATTTTCACTGTGTAGCCCTTGGTCCAGAGGGCAGGGGTAGGGATTGGTGGCATCAAGGGAAGGGCCAAAGAGTTGTTGCCCTATGGGGCTAAGTGGGCTCAACATGGAGTGGGGAAAGACCCCTGAAGCAAGTAGAAAATAAGTGGACAAGAATTCCTCATCCTGGGCCTGGCACTATTAGGAGAAAGAAGGAAACAAGGCTGGGATGGAAAACAGGTCCTCAGGGAAGTTCTCCAAAAGGAGAGGCAGGGCCCCTCTGAGGTTTGGCCTTCCCGCCAGTTATACATAGAGGGTTTTAATGGCTCCATCCCACAGATCCTAACTTCTCTTCCTTGCCCAACTGGCTTTGCTAGCAAGGGTACCCAAAGCTTTCCACTATGAGGAGGCTATGGGGAGATGGAGCAGTGATAACTGAAGGGCTGAAGTGGCATTGTTTGGTCAGTTACTGCCATGAACCAGATTCTGCTAGACTAAGGGTCTTCCTGGCTCTGGGTAGGCCTTGATTTCCCTCAGGCTCCATAACTTTTAAAGAAGAGGGGGCTTTACTCCTACAAGGTGGAGTTTCGGGACTCGGCCAGTTCTCTTTCTGGGCTCCTCTAAGCCACACTGCCAATCATAGGAGGGGCCAAACTGCTGCTCCCATAATGCACTGGATGGTAATCTCACCTGCAGCTTAATAGCTTAATAACCTGGACCAGGCCAATTTGCAGGATTTGGGTTTCTCTCCTATTATGCTAATTTAAGTAAGCTTGCAATTTAAACCAATTCCCCAGGGCTGGAGGAAGTATTCCTCTTACTGTATGCTGGTGGGAGAGGTAGAGCTGTCTGAAACTCTTCCCTGAGCAATGCAAGGTCAGCGGAGTCAGGAGGATCCCACAACTGTCAGCCATTTGGCAAGGCTCTGCTGTGACCAGGTGATGATCTCTGCTCTCTAATTCTCACCTCACCCCCCAGCGTCTCTGTTCCAAGCCACACTACCACTCTTTACCCTCGCTCCAAGTGACTTTGGGCTCAAGGGACTCCGAGGCCACCTGGGGCAAGAACATCCTAGAACAGCCCAAGGGAGAGGGAATAAACAGTTGTGCTGCTTTGCTTTGTTATCTGGGTCAAGAAAAAATATTTGTGAATGTGTGCCTTTTAAGCCTTTTCTAGCACTCTTAGGGACTCTGGGCAGTCCCTGAGTTCCATCCAGCCCACTTGTCAAAAGGAAGGAGGGAGAGTTGGCCCCAAAGCCTTAGACTTGGGAATAACTCTGGCCTAACATTGAGAACCTCAGAGGGGAGAAAAGGTTGATCTGAAAGCTCCCAGGAGTTCTCAGGATCAGAGAGAGACCCGCCCCCCGCCACCGCCCTGCAACCTGGGATGATGAACAGATGGGAGGGAATCAGCAAGAGGCCCCTTCACTGTTGGACACCCTGCTCACCTGTCAAAGGCTGATGTTGGGTGCCAAGTTCTATTGCTGGCCATCCAGCCTCATTTTTGGAAATCAGTGTTGGGGCTTGCTGTGTTAGAAACAGCCTGGCCAGGGAGGCAAGAGCCATGGTTCTGGCCTCTATTCTGCAGAAGCCCTTTCACTCTCTGGGCCTGAGTTTCTTCAGCTATAAAATTGGGAGTTGAACTGTCTACTGTCTGCTGTCTTGCATTTTCTGATATTCTGAGATGCAGCCCAGAATGACTCACCTTGGTAGCCCTCTGGAGTGGAGGCCTGTCAGCAAGCTTAGAGCTGAGGCCTGGCATTGGGCCCCACCAATGCTTAGCCCAGTCTGAGTTTGCTGTCTCATCGCCCCGCCCCGCCCCCGCTGTGAAAGCCGAGAGGCCAAGACTGAGGCCCTAATTGCGGAAAGATAGCCATGATGTCAGAACTCCAGGTCAGGGCTGAGGTAAAAGGCTTTTGATTTTCCTATAGAGCATCCTCATTCAGCCTGGCTCTGTGCTAATGGAAGGGGCCTGGTGTGTGTCTTTTTCTGGGCAGGGCTGCCAGTGGAAGAATCAGCAGAGTGCGACTTGGAAGGGGTTGATGACAGAGGGGTCGTGGGGTGTGAATGTCATTACCCTTGTTGTCATATACCTGACCAGGCCATATTGGTACAAAAGGTGGCTTTATTGAGGTCCGGGTAAGAATTAGGCACTTGGCCAGAGCAGCAGCTTAAATATGAGGCAAGCAGGCAGGGGTTAGCCATGCCCGGGGCTAGGTTGGGGTGGTGAGGCTATAGGCACAGGCTCTCCTCAGACAGACAGAAGTTGAGGGGGAAAGAAAAAGGGGAAGGGGATGCAGAGCAGTCTAGGTCAGAGGTCTGGAGGCCTGGCCCCATAGGGCTGGGCAGGAAGCGCTGGGCGGCAGATCCAGCAAGGAGGGGACCGGGCTCTCTTGCTCCACATGCCCCTTAGGCGCAGGCCTGAGGCTCTGGCAGGGGCAGCCGTGCTAGGGGGGGCCTTCCCAGGCTTCACTTCTTCACCTTGGCATCATAGGTACCTGCATTCTTGTAGGCACTCACATAGCCACTGTCATCCAGGATGTCCTGCCGCCCAGCAATGCCCTTGCCCTTGCCGCTCTCATCGAAGCGTTCCTTGTGGGAGCCCGTGTACTTGCTGGTGTCAGTCAGCCGTTCCACAGCACCCCCTGTTTTTGCTTTCTGTTTGGACAGAGTTCCCCCAGGGGTACCTGGTTAGGGAGCCCAGCCCTTCCAACCCCAGCCAAGATTCCCCATACCCACCTCAGTGGCCAGCCGAGACCATCAGGGCACTTACAGTAACACCCACATTGGCTGGTTCCTTGCCTGCCACCAGCTGGCAGATGGCATCAAAGGCCTCCTCCTTGCTCTTCCCCTTGAATCGCTTGGGTGCCAGCTCTTCTAGGGCCTTCTTGAACTCCTCATAGTTGATGACCCGGGCAGACTTCCCCCTGCCAGGTATGTGGACACCATGAGTTTTCCCCCTTCTCTACATCCTCCCTGGTTCCAGCCCCCCAATTCCCCTTCTGGGAACATCAGAAGCAGGGAATGCCTGGGGCTCACTTGACTTTGGAGAAGACGATGTCGACATCGGTCCCTGTCACAGCCTTTCCGTCAGCCACCTTGCAGTCCTTGCACAGCTTGGCCCAGTTCTTGCCATTCATCTCGTGCCCACTGGCCTTGGGATCACCATGGATGGCAAACTTGTGGAAGCTTTCCTCCAGCCCAGCCACATCTGTGCTTGCTGCCATGCCACCCTGTTAGGGACCCATCTTGGTCACCTCATAGCCAAGGTCTCCCCCCCAACCCCAAGGCACAGAGCATCACTGCCTCTACCTCAAAACCTGCAAGGTTGAAGTTGCAGGCACTTCTGCCACATACCCTCAGAGCTGGAGATGGAGCTGCCTGCAGAAAGAGGCCAGTACTCAATGTCTGACTGGGCCCCAGAGCCATGAGGAAGAGCCCCGAGAGGAAAGGTCCTGTCACTTAATGCCAGCCTGGCTCAGAGTGGAGTTCAGAAGATGAAATCATGATGCTCGCACCAGGCTGGGAACAGAGTAGCACTGTCCAGAAAAATTGTGAGAGCAGCAGCTGGGGCCATGGCTCTATCTGGCCCTGGCACAAGGCCTGCTTGGGTGGAAGTGAGGGTGGCAGAGCGGGCCCCCTCCCTGGGAGTTCCATGCCAGGCTGGGTCAGGACCAGGCCAGGCTGCTGGTTGGGCAGGTATTTAGTGAGGACAGTGTCTCTCTCAGGGTCATGAGGACCCAGCAAGACCCAGCCCAGGCTGAGAAGGGAGCCAGAGCACAGGCAGGGGTACAGCTGGCCCAGCTGGGACCTTGTTACTATTTGCTGTTAAACAAAAACATGAGGGAAGGGGAACTTGGGGCTGGCCTGGCCACAGTTTGTGAAGCCTGGAGACAGTTGCTAAGGGAGGGTGGTACTGCTTGGAGAATGTTGCTAAGGGCAGGATGGTGTCAGGGCAGCTCAGGGAGAAGCTCCCAGTGCTGCTGGGCTGGGCTGGAGAATGGGCTCACGGGTGGGGCACATCAGCACTCCCAGCGTCTGGGGCACAACCGTGGCTTCCTGGCCCCTTTCCAGCCATTGGGGCTGTAACGTCCCAATTTGTGGAGTTTAGGAGGAGCAGGAGATTGAGGGGCTAGCCTGAGTGGGGGGTTGTAGAGTTATGAGCCCCTAGAGGCATGATGGCAAGTGAGACTGGGGCCTTGGCCCTGTAATCCTCACACCTACGCTCTGCGCTGAAGCACAGTTCCCCAACATCTACACCTTCAGCCCTCTATGGAGGCCTCCTGGCCACACCCTGAGCACCACCACACTAGTCCACACTCTCACAGCTGTGTGCACTTAGCCCTGGCCCTCCATACCCTCGGCCTTAGTCCCACTGACCACACCCCTTAACCTGGTACTCAGACCTCCCTGACCACACCAGCCCTGCACTGAAGTGCCCCCCACACCCCTTACTGCAGTCCCCTGACCACACCCACAGCCCTGGGACTCAGGGCCCTGGGCCATTCCCTCAGCATGCACGCCCCACACATATACTAACAGCCCTGTACTGAGGCCCCCCAATAATACCCTCAGCCCTGCACTAAAGGGTCTTCCCCACACCTGCCCACAGTACCCAATGCAGTCCCCAACCACACCCTCAGCTCTGCACTGAAACTCCCTCCATGTAACACAGCCTGGTACTGAGGCCTCCCTGACCACACCCTCAGCCCTGCACTGCAGCCCTGGGACTGGGTCCCCCGTCCACACACCCACAGGCTTTACTGAGACCCCTAACCAGAGCCTCACAACTCACCCTCTCTCCATACATCTGCAGCCCCTTACCACACCCTCAGTTGTGTCCTCAGCAACTATCTTCCACCTCTCCCTTTTATAATAGAGCCTCCAGTAACCACAGCCTGGAGCCTGCCTGCCTGCCTACCCGCCTTCCACTACCACTGGCCTTAACACTGAAAACCCTCCCCGGGTCACCACACTCACCCATCCCTAAGTTGCAGTTTCTGGAACTGGGATCACCCACAGCTCCTACATTGCAGCAACTCGGTGGGTCCAGAATCCCTTTCAAACAGCACTCCCCTTCCCTCTCCCTACACTGCAATCTCCCACCAGCAATCTGAAGGAGACCCGCACTTTGTTCACCAAGGGTAAAGTCTGGGGGAGCTTGAGTGCCACAGGATGCTTGTTCCAGTGGCCTAGCAGGACCCTGCACCTGTGCTCACTCCTGTCTGTGAGAAGATGGATTCTTGGTAATTTCAGGCTGATCAGGTGGTGCCAAGTCACAGGCCCCGGTCCCAGGGGTCTGCAGGCCACGCTCGCTCCCGCTGGGACAGCTGAAGTAATCAGTCAGCAAGGAGTTGGGGGTGGGGGTGGAACGTTTGGGCCCAGGGCAGGACCACTCAGCTGGTGTCCTCAACTCGGTACCATCCAGGGTTGGGACCCTTCCCAGGCCGCTCCCACCCCACCCCCTTCTTATCGTGCAGGATATTGATTAGAGTGGTCGGCGCCGGGGTCTCCTACCGGCTTCTCCCTCGTGGCTGCTCCTGCAGTGCACGTTCGATGGACAGAAAGAAAGACGCAAGAATGGACCGATGGACGCAGGAGACTAGGCGGCTCCGCAGCTCTGCTCCCTGCCGGCTCTGGGGCGGGACTGCAGGCCGGGCGGTTCCGCCGTATTATTCCCTTGTTTCTCGGTCTCCACAGAGACGGCGAGTCCCACCCCCGGGGCTGTCTCGGCGGGAGAGTGACCAAGGTCACGCTGGCTCCACCTACCCGACCCCGCCCTCTCCGCTCTCCGCGGGGGCGGAGCTGCTGCGATAGTCTCATCCCGTTGCATCTGTGGCTGGGGTGACCAGACCTGAAGTTCAAAGCTGATCCCCGCCTCCAGGGTAGATCCAACTTCCCAGAGCAGCAACCGAAGGCCTTTGGCGGGGGGCGTGGGGGGGGGGCGTGCAGAGGAGTGGGAAGGTCCCTTCCCTTAGTGACAGTGGGGTCTAAAGCTGGCTCAAGACCACAGCTCTCCAATGAACGTGTGGCATCCCAGGTCACAACTCCGGGTCACTGGGGGCGGGAGGGGACAGTAAACGAATCACGAGTGCCAGCCCCCAAATCCTGGTACACCGACGTCTCTCCCGCGGCCAGGGAAAAGCTCCTGGACTTCCTGGGTCCGCGTCCTCATTTAGTCCCACCCCAACCCGGTGTTAGCCTCGCAGTCTCTGCTTCCGCTGCTGCCTCCCGACCCCAAAGCCTGCTTCCCCTCCTCTCTCCAAGTGCAAACCCTATCTTCAAGAAAAATAACCTCCTCCAGGCAGCTTCCAGGACCTTTCCCAACCAGGAGCCCCATACCTGAGCTTCTCCATATGACAATCTGGGTGGCCACCCAGCGTACGGTGTGGCGGGCGGGGGGAACCCACCTCACCCTCTGCCCCTAGGCTGACTGGCAATGGTCCGGCTCCAGGAGGGCCCGTGGCCCTTGCCATTAAGAAGGTATGTACTAACTCCGCAAAAGCATAAAAAAGTTTATTGGAGCATCACGGCTGGTGGGGCTGTTATTGCTGAGTCGTGGGGGAGGGGGCCGATCCCGCCGGCCCTTAGAGGCCCCTAAAGTGCACTCAGTACGGCGTGGGTGGGGGTGTTGCATAGAGAGTCTGTCCCGCCGCTCCTCCGCCATCCCTGCTTCTTGTCCCAGCTAAGCGGGACCGGCCTCCGGGCCGCCCCGCGCACCGGGCTCGCCGCTACTCGGGCTTACAAAAACGGCCGGCGCACGCCCCTGCAGCGCCAGCCCGGCGCTGCCTAGGCGCGTCTGAGCCACTGGAATCTCGTCCATGGGCTCGGCTGACGCCGAGTGGTAGGCGCCTGCAGGGCTGGCGTCAGCGGAATCCGACGACGAGCTAGAGCGGCGGCCGGGGGTCCGCGGCCCTATGGGGCCGGAAGGGAACGTGAGACTAGGAGCTGTTACTCACTTAGGGCCCTACTTTTCCCTCCCTCGTAGCTCCCCGAGCAGGATCCGGTCAGGAAGGGGCGCTCACCCGGCAGCCTGGGCAACGGGGGCTCCCGGTCCAAGGTTCTGGAGGTCCGTTCCTTATACATGCGCCGCTTCCTTTTTTTCTGCAGAGACAGGGGGAAGACTGAGTACCCCTTCCCCAGGCCTCACATCGCCAAAAGACGCGCAGGAGTGGAGAGGGGTAGAGGCTTCCTTCCCATCCCCTTCCACCTGGGCAGGGGGCCCAGCACAGTCCCCCCCTACCTGGGGTCGGATCCGGGGGGGCAGAGCGAGAGTCTCTGGGGAGGAGGGCGGTGGAGGCTCCACGTGGCCGCGGGTGGCAGGGAACCGGGAGGGGCTGAAGGGGAAGTGGGAGGATAAATGCTGGATGCTGTTGTTCCTTCAGATCCCACCCTGTTGGAGGTCCTAAAATAAGCCTCCCTTCCTAGCTGGAAAGGGGCATTGATCTGTCCAAGGCCATGATAGCCTGGACCAAGACCTGTGCCTTGGCTTTGGCCTAACCCCTTTCTCCCACCTCAGATGGCCCTGCCATGCCGATGGGAGATGTGAGGTGGCACTTGCCCAGGTTGCACTCACTTGGCATTCACTGAGGCAGGCCTGGCCTGGCCAGGGGGCTCTGGGCGCACATGGCTGAAGGTCCGCATGTAGAACTCCATCTCCTGGGGAAGATGGAGGTGAGGGAGGCTGGGAGGCCAGGTGTGGGTCCAGGGCCTTCTGGGTCCTGGGCCCACTCTGTCTTGGATGCAACACTCCCTTACTGGTCACTGTGGGAGGTCTGGGCACAGAGGTCTAGGGCTGTCCTCCAGGCTTCCCAGGTATGCTGGGAAAACCCCAATGCAGAATGAGGCTTAAAACACCTGTGTTTGTACCTTACCCCACCCCCACCATTTTCCTCACTTCATTTAGTCAAACTCCACCTCCTCCAGGAAGCCTCCAGCCTCATGTGTCCAACGTACCCAGTCTAGAGCTGTTCTGGCCAAGTTGGGCTGCGGAGAAGAGGGACTCAGAGAGGCCCTCTCCTGCTCCTGGCTCCTCCCAGGGCTCCAGTCTCTGAACCGATGTTTTTCCCTAGTTGGGAGACTGGGCAGTTCACACACCCGGGTGTGCACCCGAGGCTGCGAGGCTACCTGCAGGAATCCATGGTTCCCTCGGAGCTGAGTCCTCAGAGTACCAGACACAATCTCAGCTGCTGGCGGGGAGTGGGGAGATGAGCAGTCTCCCCAGCTTCTACCGGTAAAGGGAAGCAATAGGTGGTGGAAAAAACAGCGCCACAGCCCCACCTGGGACCAGGCTTATGGGCGTTCTCTGTCTTGTTTAGTCGCTGATCCTCACAGTGCCCATGGGAGTAGCAGACCCAACCCCTGAAAGTGAAGGGGTCTGAAGCCAGGAGGTAGCAGGAGTGGCCTAGGCTTGCACCCCAGCACGCAGCAAGCGCCGAGCCGCACCCAAGAGGACTGCAGGTGAGGAAACAAAAGCCAGGAAAAACAGTCCGAGTAGGGAGCCTGGCGGAAGATGTGGGGTGGCTGGGGGTAGGGCACCGGACAGCTGTCGTGACTCGGCAGTCGTTTCCATGGAGACCCGGGCATCCTGACTAATGCAGAGACGACACTGTAACAGCAACACCGTCTCTAAAACAAGCCTATGTTTGGGGGCAACGGCTCCAGAGTG